ATATTCTCCAAATCCATAACCAAAGAATCAAACTTATCAAGATGTAAGAGTATAGATGTACCTTCAGTCATCCGAAGCATATATAGACTCTGCTTCAAGTAGAGACGATTCTCCACTGTCCTCTTCATGTACAAGGCTTTAAGCTTGTCCCACATGCTCTTAGCCGTAATCTCCGTAGCTACCTCCCGTAAAACCTCGTCAGAGAGATTTAGAATGATGCTTGATTGGGCCTTCTTATCCATACCCGTAAGCTCTTCTTTTGATATATCATCTGGAATGCTCTCGGCTCCCTGTAGTACCAAATCAACTCCGTCTTGAACCAGAATGACCTCCATCTTGAGTTGCCACAAGCCGAAGTTGATATTTCTATCGAATTTCTCGACAACAATCTTTGTTATTGTCATCGTTGCCAAAAGATCCCAGAACCAAGCTCTGATACCAGTTTGTTAGAGCTAGCCCCAGGAAATTTACCACAAGGTAATTTTAGCAACACAATAAAAAATGCTTTAGGAAAATATTCCTAAGCCATAAAACACCCGAAAATACTAAACAAGAAAAACACAAAGTATTAAGTCCAAACTATTTAACTGAGTGTGGACTTAAACCAAAGTAAATACTTAGGTTTTCTTGTGGTACCTCTGACTTCAAAACTCAAGCCCTTATTTATAGTTCCAATAGGAGATAACAATCCTGATTTTTCTGATGTGGGACTATGTGACTTACCAACAAACTAATAGTATGTTTTGATAAGTCGAAACATTCAAATAAATTAAACACGTAACCTACTCAGCTATTGTATGCAGAAAAAAAGGCCAATTATTTAGTTTTGTTGTTAGTATTCTAGTCACTTCAATCACCTGCCACACACCGAAGGACTTCATGTGCGCTTCTATAGAAGGTAGAGTCCTCGGAACCAGAGTGTTCCCTAAAAGCCAATGACAATCATGTCCTATGTCATGGAGGGAAACTTCTAACCCGACCCTCCTTTGTCCACATCTTAGTGCTTGTAGATTGACGTAGTCAAATAAACAATTTTTATGAGCAGGTGAGACTGCATCTACCTAATATGATAATCTTTTTTTTGCTGTTGTTTTCTCTTTTGGACAATGGTTCTTCAAGGATCAGATAGTCTATCTTGATATGGGAGTGATTTGGAGTGCTTTGCCACTGAAATTGGTTACTGTGCCATCATTTTCTTCATCAAATTTTTTATAACCTTGTTTCATGGGCTTTCTTGTGACAAAATTGTCTTGGATGATTTAGATTTGCTACAAGGTTTTCCTGCTCTGATAATATCATTTCATATTGGGTGGTGGAGCAAGTATGGAGAAGCTCTGGTGGACTTATATGAGGATAAGAATCTCTTTTGTCATAAATTTATTATTTTAAATGGAATAATTAGGATATATTGACATGATTTGGATCTTGTCAGAGTATGTTAATGTTTGGAACATATAAAGAAACCTGAAACAAAATGCATGACTTTGTCATTTTGTTACTATTTGCTATATGATTATAAGTGTTGCTGTACTGACAGTGTTAACTTTATATGAACTGGTACAGAGTACATATCATGCTTACATGCGGCAGAGTTCTGTGCCAAAATGGTGATATCATTGTATTGAACTGGCTCAATGACAATGCAGGTTGGTACAGATTCCATGTAGACAAGATTTGGTGAGTATCTAAGAAACTAATATGGGACTTTACTAGCACAAAAGCATCCTGAGAATTTAAAATCGTTTCAAACAACCCTCGAAGTTGTCTAAATGTGAAGGAATGGCTACTAACTTCTCAGCTACGAGGGGCTTGTTGAAGTTCTGGTCTTTTTGATTGAACACTTAAATAACAACATTTGAAGATATTGTGAGTTTAATCCTAAGCGAGTGATATGCCCAGTCGTGATAGTTCAAATGCCTTGTCTTATAATGATAAGTTTCAGGTTAATGCAAATGACATCATAAATTTCTGATGATGATACCGAAATTTGTCTCACGTTCAAGTATTTTTCGTATCTCTTTAATTAGTTTGCTTATGTTTATTGCTAAAACTTTTAACAAAAGAATTTTCTCTTGTCAATAAGGGGAAACCAGTTATTAGTATTGTATTGCTCAATCATTCTGGCTAATACTTTCAACGTTTTCAGTGGTTGATCCAAATTTCTGCATTAACCACTCAGAATTCTTCAGCTCAGGTTTTTAGCTGCAATCATTGGCTATGTAATGCACTTTACCCGTTGGTGATATCCTTACTAGAGTTATGCTTCCGTTAATACTTTTTTTGAACATAAGTTGTTTCAGAGTAAGATAATATAAGTCATGCATCAACCAGTTTTATGGTCTTACCTAAACACAGAAAATAATTGAGGGAAGATTGTTATTAATTCATCATGTTCTACAAAGTACAACACAAGTTTGACAATTGAGCTAGCAGAATGTATTGGAAACAAAGTAGCCAATGAAATCAGCATTCTTATGGGGACAGACCAGCTGTCTGTAATCACGTTCTCTTGGAGTCAAATGGAGAAACACTAAATTGTAGTGAAAGCCATTTGATAGGGTTCCTAGCTCATTCACTCAAGGAGCCACTAAAATTTAAATGATCATATCAATATGTCGATTGATGGTGAAAGCTACAGTGGATGCAGAAGAAACTGGTGCCCACAAGTGTTTTAGAGCTTCATGTGGAAACACCTTATTAGAACAGACTCTGCTCCATGATCAAGCATTCCAATGTGGTCCTTGTAGTGCTTATTCAGCATCATCAGTGGCAACGTCGGCCATACTCACCTAACGATGTTGATGTAACATGCATCAGCACTCGCAAAGCTTTTGCAATGATACGCGGTTGTCATGGAGTGTAGTTTGTCTAGATTCTGTACGTTGGTCATGGAGTTTCCTGCAGATACGTGTTTCCACGGAGAGGGAGTGGCTTTTCAAACCCCCGAGAGATGCAAATGTGAAGATGTTTGGCTCGATGCGATGCTCGTTGAGGTCATCTGCAACTGATCCTAGAGGGAGTTCAGTTGCTGCCAGAGTAGTGAAAGATGGATCTGTGTTGGCCTTTGATCCCATGTACAAAATTATAAACTAATTCTTCTGTAAGTACAGACCTCAATTCTGAGGGACTGATGCCTCGGTGTTGTTAGACATGAGCTAAACAGTTCTCACTGGAGTAGCAGTCAAATTATGTCCGCTGTTCATTGGCATATGCCCCATGACTGTATTTTGATCAAATTAGTACATAATAAATATAGTTTCTGGAGTAGTTATTTACTATAAGGTCAATGTCTCTGAAATCTACAACATTAACATCCAACACCCGATAATAAGTTTCTGAAATCTATGTTGGATTGCATTATACAATTCAAAATTGAACAGAATCTTATCTGGGCTTGACAAAATCATTTCAGCATTGACCATAGATCGAAGGAGGAGCCCTTCATTTTGGATCCATGTGGCTCATAGAAAGGGGTGCCTTCTGCAAATGATTAATCGCCAATGTTCAAAGACTCCGTTTATACATTCTCTTGTTCAAAGAATTTATGCTGTATTCTTGTAACCCCCACCGCCCCCCCCCCCCCCCAAAGCTTAGAGTCCTCGCTTCCGCTGTTCCCATTTTGAGCTTTTAAGATCAAGGATAATAATGTGATGTGACCATAAAAAGGTTAAAAGGAATTACAATCATGTATTTGATCGATTAGCAGCATTAAAAAAATGCTAATACAACCTACTTTCTTCTGTGTTAATGCATCTAATGCTGGTCCATCCTTTCGACCTTAAAATGTCATCCTTCAGCATCAAATCAACCTGGTTATTTAGTACATTCTTCTGAAAAGAAGTGCTTAGCATTTACCAAACTTTCACTTGGAGATTGTTAGCCAATCCCCTACGTTGTCTCCATCTACATTTCTGCAACTTTCAACCAATCTACTTAATTATATGCATCTCTATAAGGTGGGCACACCCCCACTTTTTTCCTATATATACCATGTGTCCCAGCATGCACTTCCTCCACCACTACTCTCCCTTTCTTAAGCCTAGATGGGTCGTCACCTTCTTCTTCTCCTCCAATTCATTGTCCTCCTCATGCTCCAATCCATCAATGCCCAGCCTTCCCCAGGCTACTACCCAAGTTCTAGGATCTGGCCAATGAGATTCTACCAAGGCTACAGTTACCTCTGGGGTCCTCAGCACCAATCGGTGTCCCAGGATCAGTCCTCTGTAACAATATGGCTTGATAGAAGCTCAGGTCTGTCATTCCTGCCACTTGCAGTATATCATCATTCTCCACTTGTGAAAACTAGCAATTGTACCTCTTTCTGCTTGACTAGAAGAAAATATCTATGTAGGAAGTGGATTCAAGTCGAATCGCCCTTACCGAAATGGCTACTTCGGAGCTTCGATCAAGCTCCAAGGTGGCTACACTGCCGGAGTAAACACAGCTTTCTATGTATGCTAGATAACTTAATCATGGATTCAGTACCATTTGCTGTCTCGTTCATGCAGTAGTGGCTGTGCTTGTAGCTCTCAAACAATCAAGCTCACCCTGGCTTCCATGACGAGGTCGACATCGAGTTCCTCGGCACAACTCCTGGTAAGCCATACACTCTGCAGACGAACGTGTACGTGAGAGGAAGCGGCGACGGCCGCATCATCGGCCGGGAAATGAGGTTCTACCTCTGGTTCGACCCCACCGCCGACTTCCACCACTATGCCATCCTCTGGAACCCTGACGAGATCATGTGAGTGCTCCACCGTTGTGTTCTACCATCACCGGAGCACATGATGCTGAACTCGTTCATCCATCCCTGCAGATTCTTCGTGGATGATGTGCCGATAAGGAGGTACGCGAGGAAGATGGAGGCGACGTTCCCCGATCGGCCGATGTGGGTGTACGGCTCCATTTGGGACGCGTCGTCGTGGGCGACGGAGAACGGCAAGTACAAAGTCGATTACGGTCACCAGCCGTTTGTTGCGAGGTTTACCGGCTTCAAGACAGCAGGGTGCTCGGCCTACGCGCCGTGGAGCTGCAACCCGGTGTCGTCGTCCCCGGCCGGCTACGGCCTCAGTTCTCAACAGGACGCCGCCATGCAGTGGGCTCAGAGGAACCACATGATCTACAACTACTGTCAGGACTACAGCAGGGATCACTCCCTCACTCCTGAGTGCTGAAGCACATCATTGTTCCAGTTTGCTCTGATGTTTCATTGGTTTCTTCCTGCAAGGAAGAGCTGCCCTGCTACTACTGTGTGTTAGTAGTTGAGGCGTTTGTGGTTTTCCTCTTCTTCTTCTTCTTCTTCTTCTTCTTTACATTATAAGGTTGTGTTGTCTATGTAATGCTATTCTACACTGAAGAGGTCTCTGCAAGTATCAATCAATATGAAAGCCTTCATTCCCATGAAGTTTGAACTCTATGGACCAACCGAGTCATGCACTCTTTCCATGCTATTCTACATTGAAGTGGTCTCTGCAAGTATTAGTCAATATGAAAGCCTGCATTCCCATGAAGTTTGAACTCTATGGACCAACCGAGTCATGAACACTCTCCATCCCTTCCACTTTCTCTGTTTCCTTTTTTGTTTCTGTATCAGACTTTTCTGTTCCTTGATGCTAACATTGATCTTTATGAAGTGAAAAATATTGAGCTCGCTTCGGCCCAATTAAAACTCATATCTTTTTAATCATGAATATTGGGATATATACTGGCTTTAGGACTCAGAAAATTAACCCAATAATTAAGTTGATTTCCCCTGTCTCCTAGTAGTCCCAACTCCTGCAATCCATCTACCAGAAGATTGTAGAGCTGTTTAGGCATGGCATTTACAACAATTTAGCTTTGGATAGTAATCTTCTTGAATCAAGCTGATAAAAGATGTGTTTTGTAATATCAATAGTGATGCGCAGAGCAACATTGATAAGAAAGAATTCACAAGAAATGTTGTGGCGAAATAAAGATCTGGCACAATGGAAAGACACACTTCAATCTATCTTGAAGTTGATCCTTAAGCATACATACAGAGCATGATCTTCCTGAATTGGACATCCAAGTTTGATTTCACTGTGACTGACAAGCTTGTGCATTTAAACAAGCCATTCACTTTCTTGGTGAGGATGTGATAAAAGCTTTCCTGAATTAAAGGAAACATGTGATTGCTGAAGTGTGAGAACTGATACTATCATTAACAACCAATATCTTGTATGAAACTAAGCTAACAAACATGTCACCACTACTAGCAATTCAGATTATAACTTTAAAAGCTCAATTCACATAACAAATCATTATTAGTTCCCTTTTTGTTAAATTTGATTATTTCATTCGAGTATTACTTAACACGCATACTAAACGATTCCCTTCATCTTCAAATATTAAATTTGATGGAACTATTATGTTCTTATCTAATCATGGAAATATAATCATTGCTTATATGCAACATCAACTATTTGGCTTTAACCTTAGGAATAAAAGAAATACAACTTCTTAATTAAATGCACTTGCTACCTCTTTGATATTAAAAATTAAAAAAGATATCATCGTATCTTCTCCAGGTTGCACAATCAATCTTTTTATAAGCCACTATTTCATCATAATTTACGCCAAGGTATGTAATACCGTACCGTACCGGTGTTTCGAGGTTGACTCAGTACGGTACGGTACCGGTATACCGAGCGGTACACTAAGACGTACCAAGCACTGTAGCACTGTAGCATTGCTATAGTATAGCACTATAGCACTATAGCGGTACCGGGCGGTCCACGTACCGGTATGCCATCGGACCGGTACGTACCGTCTATACCGAGCGATACGATTCGGTACTACATACCATGGTTTACACATGAAAAATATAAATAGAAATACAATTATTTAATTACCAAAAAAAGTAGGAATGGAGTTGGGCTCAGATTATAATTGGATTATGTCTCTTTCGAAGAACATCAACCAAATTGAATTCTCTTTCTGATGTGAAACAAGTTGAGACCCAACCCAAACTTTACATTCACCGGATCATAATTTAGCTTGTCCTTGGTCTTTGATCTTTGGGCCTATTGACCTCTCCAAGTGCCCTATTTTTTTGTCACAAAAGAGATCATAATTATCTAAAACCTTTGAAAACAAGCATGATGAGATATATAGATATGAGGATATAACTTAGTTGATAATAACATTAACAGTTAATAGTAAAATCATGGGATTGAATCCGGTCTTAAATATCTTTGAAAAAATAGTGACCATTAAATATATCAAGAAATTAAATTGATTTTTATATTTTGCTATAACTATTTATATTCCACCATTCCATATAAAATCAGCTGTAGATTAACTTGTTCTGGTTTGATTTTGAGGTAGGCTTGATAGTTTATTTTTTTTTAATATATAATGTCAGAAACTAATGTTTAAATAAATTACTTTTACAAAATTTGGAGACAGGAATTCTGCAAGTTGTTGAAAGAATTACTGAAGATGGAATAAATTTATCAAGAACTCATTTCCTCAAAATTTGCATGTGTCAGAGCATATGGTTGTCACTGTTGAAACTGTGAATAATTGTTCCATCTAGGGTTTCTTCTAGGCTGAGGATCTTGAAAACTATGGCATATCTTTAGTGATGTCAGGCTGGCTTTTATATCTGGAAATATGCAGATGCATTGTAGAAACAGAACCAGAAGGAATGCTTATTAGTTCAGTTATTCCTGGACATCAATGACATCAGCAAGGGAGAAGATAAAAAACTTAATGTTGATCTTAATTTTGGTGAGTCAATATTGTATCTGATGAGAAAACTGATCCATTAATTTTATTTAATTTAAATTATTCATTTTAAATTTATATATAAATTATAATTATAATGTCTGAGAAGAAAAAGCATACACATGATATTCAACCCATAGGTATCTTTGATGTGTGTTTTGTATATTGTCCTTGGGCATTTCTTTTCTAGAGTCTTTTATTATATCTATATCTAGATCGGTTTTGATATGATTTATCACGATCTTGATGAGAAAATTAGTTCACTAATTTTATTAAGTCTAATTTCTTAACCTAAAATAGCTACCTGAAACCAAATTAATTTTAGTAAACCCATTTGCTTATGCATAACTTCTTTCATACTTGAATGACATTAATTAGCAAGGGAGCCAAATGAACTAGTTCATGTCACTATTAATGAGTCCTATGTCTGTATGTTGGAAGTCACTATTAATCAGTCATCCATATTCTTGTCAGCACATGAGCAAGGGACCAGTGAACTTATTCATCTCAGCATCGATGAGTCTTCTATGTTTATGTGCACTAAGCTCCAATAACTCTAAGGAAGCTTACATCTCGGTATTGATGCAACCTTGCTGTCGTTCTTCTCCTTGGCAAATCACTTTTTCCAAGTTTTTCTTCTTTCTTATCCGTTGGAACATCTAATGTATTATGGACCAGTTTGATTACAAGTTTTATGAGTGTGCAAAATCCGAGTAAAAAGACCAGTTCAATAAAACTGCAGCGATGCTTGAGGAAATACTTAATTTGAACACCATATATCTTTTTTTTTTTAAGGTTAAAATCCATTTTGATGGTGAACTTCTTAAATCTTTATGATTTACTTGTATCTAAAATAATTTTTATATTTTTAAAAATATAATATATAAGTCTCAATCTGAATTAATAGATATTAGTGTCTACTTATATAATATATTGATTCATAATAAATTATTAATATAATAATATATATAATTTAGGATTATGGTTCATTTTAACCCCTGTGGTTTTGGTCATGAACCTATAAAGCTCTTATAGTTTACTCATATTTAAAATAATTTATATATTTTTAAACATAGTAGAATATAAACCCCTCTCATTTAATCCGAGTTAACAAACGTTAGAGTCTGCTTACGTGGCATGTTGACTCACAATAAATCATTGATATAATTACATATGTAATTTTAGTTTTTTTCAAAAAACTAAGATCTCAATCAATGACGAGAGGAGGTGTCGTCGTGGAAGCTGTTAGGAAACTTAAGGTAGCATCACATGCGTAGTGGAAGAACAAAAAAATAAAATTTCAGAATTTCTTGTAGAAAAAGTTTCTCGTCATTATGCGAAGATTGATGCGCAAAAACCCGCAAAACTAAAAACTACATGCATGTAAAAGATGTGTTACCTAGGAAGATTGTATATCCTTGAAAATCTACATATCTGTGGAAAAGGATGAAGAAGGTCAACTGTTCTCCTTTCTAGCGGTAATCCACATAGTAGGTGTTGTGAAGACATTCATCAAATCACTATACAATCCTCCTTTCCATGCACACCATGCGATTAAGAAAAGGCTAGCCCTTCTTGTTGTCCACATGCCCCAAATTGGGGCTATTGGCTAAGGAGGAGAGAGAGAGAGAAGTATAGGAGGTGGTAGCCAAAAAGGGTCTAGCCTATGCCCCTTTGGTTCCCTTCTATTTATAGAGGTCCCTATCAACTTAACTCTAATGAATCCTGCCCTATTAGGTACTGGATCTCTATCCATCTTCCCAAGCCTCTTACAATAATTCCTCATAGGTTCTTATTGGTTCTTATCCACAAGATCCAATAATTTAGGAGTTTGTTGGATATCAAATAAAATAAGAGCTCCAACCAATATCTAATATCCGAACCTCTATTCATCGCAACACCTACCATATGTGTGTGGTCTCTAGGCCTAATATTAAGTTGGTCATAAGTTATACTTATCATAATTCCTTCTGACTCAGTAAATTATCATATCTTCTAATAATTTACTTGACTCATCGACTATGGATGTACTAGGCTATTACGCCTAGTCCTAAAATGATACAGGGGAATCCAATCCATTAGACATATCTATCCTCAATTATCATGTATTTATAGTTTCTCATCTATCTATTATCTTATAGACTATATATAAGGTATGGTGCTGTCAGACCCATACGATTTCTACTCGAGTCTCCCTCTAATTGGATTCTCCCGGAGAACTCTTTGTCTCCCAATCTGAATGACCAATGACCATAGCTAGTGATTTACTTGAGTAAGAATATATATAATATTCCTCTCATAACACTGAGAGTGGATAATCCTCTATCGACACTCAATAGCTCTCGTAAGGTTGGTTGTTACTCCCAATAATCAGTTGTGCTAGATTTAGAACTTTTAGTATCAAAGAGAGGAGTATTCATATAGGACATCCTTGGTATCTTAAGTCTAAGGACCAGATATACTATTGGGATGATAAAATCGCTGTTTGACAATGAGATATCATCTACCATCCAACATTCTGTGAGCGGATCGATCAATGAACTCATTATACAATGAGCACCTATATTGTATCTCTAGTATCCCCACATAAGTATTTATGAGAACAATCACATCCATCATATGGATAGATATATAGCACACTAGTTTGTCTGATTATTTCGATGTCCC